ATAAAATTTGAGAACTTGAAACACATTAGAACACACATTGACTTGCTTAAATTTTCATTTCTTCGTATTCGCACAGCGCATTTCTAAGATTTCTAGTTTTCACTCTTCAATTGCCTCAAAAAGCGCACCTTACTGCCACACCACCGACATATTACTCGAGCCGAATGCCAGTCCAACACCACGTTTCAGTCAAAATATTAAAATTTTTATCAGTGTTTTCCCTACCTTGCTGCCGTTCTTCCACCCTACCAATCGCCTACAATACTCTCCACTTTTTTGTGTGCCTTTTAAAGAAATGCATGCCTTCATACCGCGTAATCTCTGTTTATAGAATGAGTTAATCGGCCGAAAGTGATGGTCCCTTTGCGAGGAGGTAGCGGCGTATAGCACAAAGCGGAATGCGCAAAAGTCTGATAAGCAACGTTTGTTTTTATCTAAATGGGCATAGTTCTTATCAGTTTTTAACTGAGAACTATTTTAGGAAAGGGCGATAACGTAAGAGAGCTGTGTACTACACATACAGTTGTGGTTATAATACTAGAAATAGTTGAAATAAAGTCTTATAGCTTGGTTTTATTATTTTTTATTTTTTTTTTTTGATATACTCGTAAGTAGGCGTGCTAGTCAGGTCAGTTGCTTCAAATAAATGGAAAAATTCATTAGAGAGGTTTTTTCCGAAATAAAATGGTGGCAAACGCGCAGAGAGAGGCGAAAGCTGATTTCGAAAATTTAGAGTTAAAGCTTACAATGATTGATTGATTTCACTTTTAAATCAGTGAAAACTTCGCTATTCAAGGATATGGTGCATAGGTATGCCAACCTCATGTAAAAGCTTAAAATGTGGTTTTGAGCATGAAGAATATTTATAATATTTCGGGCTAGTTAAACCACTAATAACGCCAGAACAGCTGAAATGTTTTATTTTTCATCATCTCAATTATTTTTTATATACTTACCATACATGTTTAGTTCACTTTTCAAAACAAAATATATATTTAAATAGAAAAAAGTAAATATTGTTAAATTAACGTTAATAATGCATACAAAGGATTCAACGCCTCCACGTAATGTGAGAAAGTGAACGACCACCGCAGCACGAACAGCCTCCAAACGTCAGTTTGCACTGTGAGTGTTCAATGTGCAAAACGGAAAGTGGGTTGTTGCAGCACAACAGAAACAAAAACAGAAAAAATAATAAAAAATATGTGTGTGTTTAAATTGGAGAACAAAATTGCAAGTGAAGGTGGCAACGTGCTTTGCATTTTTAATCCGCGAATTTCAACTTCATTAAAGCGCAGCTAGCGACGGCTGTCCGTACGAAAGTGGCTGTCAAAACGCTAGTAGCTGCTGCTGAGACACATACACTACCGTTTTGTAACTTTTCGCTTTACTGTCGACGAACAACAGCGAATGCAACGAACTGCATTCAACGCTCTCGACAGATCTTCAAACGCAGCGTTGCTGCTTGATGCTGTTGTCAAAAGCTACCGTAAAAACGTGCTTTGTAATCGTCATCGGCTATTATACCTTTTTTGCGTTGCTCGTTTTGTTAGCATGCACTGGTCACCGAAAACCGCCTACCAACAGCGCAAGCAACGAGTCACCGCTGATTACTGCCAGTCATTGAATGCACGTTTCAGGCGGAATTTCGGCTACAGCATTTCTGCTTGTTTTCAGTGTTACTGTTATTTATGTCATTTTTAATGCATGCAGCAGCTTTCCTCATTGTCACGTCCATGCAGCAGCAGCGACAACTTTTAAGTGACTTCCTCTTCTTTTTGACACGCCCTAAGACTAAATGCTTGCCAGCCGTCACGCATGCGCCCACTTGGCATTTTTTATACCAATTATTCCCATTTATCGTTACTGTTTCATTCAGCTTGTTGTGCTTTACCACCTCTGTATGTATGTATGGTAGGTATGCTGCACGCTTGGTAGCACGCCGCTCGGCGCACGGGCGTTTTCTCGCGTCTTTCGCTTCGCTTTGTTGTCTTACTTGATTTTCTGTTCCACGCCACCTCCACAAATAATTTAGTCATTAAATTTGACACACATAAATACACGTGCGCACTCAAACACACACGCATGCGCAGTGCAAATAGTTGATTGCAACATGCGGTGCTGGTGTGTTTGTACTTGCAAGTGGCGATATTGACTTGGTTTTTTGCGGCTTTTAGCCATATGGAATTATGATCGATGGACAAGCGAACGTCGCAAGCTTTGGCCAACCGACTGCGGCTTGAGCGACGGCTTTGCTAGGTGTTGTTGTTAATTCGTATTGATTTCGGCGGTTGTTTACATTCATGCTTACAGACACGTATACGTGCAGCTACGTGAGGAGGTCGCTTATTTGTTCATTGCACGTTGCAAATTGCATGTTGTTGAGTGTAATTTTGCCTTTATTTACTTTTCTGTTATTTTTTTTTCCTGGTTGAATATTGCGCGCTCGTATTTTGTTCGTTTTTATTTGATCTAAGCTTTGTTGCTGCTGTTATTATTGTCTTTTTGATCTCAATATCTCCGGCTTTTTGGTTTCTAAGTATAAATAATGTTGTACCATTCGTACTCAAGTGGTTTGCTGCACTGCTTTTGCGCCATATGTTTGTATATGGCTAATTGTGCTTTGAAATAAATTTTGAAGCATTGCCTATCAAACACGATTGAAAATTTTTGAATTCAAAACTTTTGAAATTTTTTTTCAATTCCGTTATTGGGATTAAACATTAGATTTTTGCTAACTACCAGGCAAATATTTTTTTTTAAACCCTTATGTAGGATTAACATTTTTTTTTTTTTGATTTTTTCATTTTTCATACCGTATAAAAAATAAATAAAAAAAATTAATTGAAATGTTAATTCAATTGTATTTTTAACGCATTTTTTGCAACCCTGCTATCAACAATTTTAGTAGTTGATTATCCATAAAGTATAAGCAGAAATTGTTAAAATCGCAAACAAAGCTATAAAAACTTTTTTCTTTACAACAACATTACAATATTTTAGTCTACAATTAGGAGCATGATCCATAACACCCACATGGAAGCAAATCTCTATGACACAATGAAAAAACATTTAAACAGTTACAAAATATGGCAACACTACTGGCGGAGTATGGCAAGCAATTGGCATTAAATGCAAGAAATTTATGATATTCAAGTTTCAAATCCGCGAGATTGGCATAAATGGCAGCAAAACGTTTGGCAAATTGCTCAGGCGCAGCGCCAAAATAGGTTTGGAAAGCTTAGACAAAGTACATGTTAATATTTATTTATGCTAGGTTAACAAAAAATACATACAAATTTGCTTGCAGCTGCAACAAACAATGAGCCACGCATTTACAAAGCAAAAACAAAGAAACAAAAAAAACCTGAAGAAAAAACTATATTTTGTTGCTCAAAACAATTGTTAGAAAAAAATACTAAATCAGAAATTCAAAAAATCAGAATTTTTTTCTAACATTTCATTTTTTCTAGCAGCGACAACAGTGTTGCAACAGCTCAGCAACCCACGCAACACAATTACAGCCGTTACCAGCGCATATGTGCTGTGCTACCAAAAGCGGCAAAGCAAATGACTGCGAAACTGGCGAAAACACCTTAACAAATAAATGCCAAAAACAGTTTCTCAAGAAAACAACACAAAAAACGCGTAAATAAATCTGAAACATATTGCGCTCACATGGCAAAATTTATCAACGAATATAAGCCATATAACCAAAAATTGATGACGTAAAATTTATGGCCGCAATTTCCGTTGCAGCAGCCGTCGCTGCCGCGCTAGAGTTGGCAAGCGCACTGTTGGAAAACTGTTGGAAAAAATCTCGCGCTCGCGCACCGGCGATTTGCCATTTTTACGCTCGTGAAATGTGTAAATTGAGACGTTTAATAGCCGCTAGCAACAACAAAGTTGTGCAGTTTCGCAATAAAAGTCATCAATTTTTTTTTTCATTTTTATATTTTGTGTGAAAAAAATCTTAAAAACCAAGCCGGTGATGAGTTACAGCGTTGCCACTTTGGGTATGCAATAAATAAACCATTTTGAATTCGTAATTACTTTAGCGCCCACACAAGCTAAAAACGGTTAATAGCATTATTTAATTAACTGTTGTTGTAAGTAGCAACGGCAGCAAGCAAAAATAGCAAAACTAGATGCTGGCGACATGCGACCGGATGTAAGTGGGGAATGGCGTGAAAATGTCAGTTTCCGAATGAAATTGTTGCGTAGTTTGCTGAGCATCTAGCTATATGCTATTGCAGTCTTGATTGATTGCGTGCGCCTAAATTAATATTATACAAATAAAAACAAATAATAAAAATATGAAAAATTCTGTTACAGTTCAGCACTTGTAAGCAACTGCAAAACAAACTTAGAACAAAACAAAAAAAAAAAAAAAACTTGTAGAAAAATTCGCAGCCAATTTTTTTTACAGGCAAATGCTGTGCCATTTAAAACCAGATATCATTTCAATCACCCAAATTGTATCTAACACCAAATCACATGCAATGCGCTACAAGTCCACCTACACTCGTCTACAAACGCTTTTGAACATATCACAACCAAAAATAGCTAATGTGAAATCGACTAGTAGGTGTATTAGCCAAATAGCACTGATTAAATTCGTTAAAAAACATTCAGAAAAAAACGAATATAAATATTGCTGACTGACTAATTTTTTTGAATTTTAACCAAAACCAGTTACACTGAGCGCTTTGTCAATATGCATAAAGAGCGGTTTTTCTAGTCACTGGTAGCGTAAATATATTATAAAAAATACAATATTTCTGGTGCATTAAGTCATGGTGACTTCATTCATAAATTTTGGCAACAAAACAGCAGTCAAAATCAATTTCTCATTCATGTCTCTATAGAGTTCGAATTTTGACGCCAACGCCATTTTTCTTACAAAATCAAGCCATTAAACATTAGCTACAATTTACTCTATTATTGCGCTATCTTTTTTCTGGCCTTGTTTGATAAAGTATCGATTCATATGAATATGTAGTATTCACTAGAATGTTTGCATGTGTCTGCCTCTCGTTGTTGGCCACTTAAGCTCCCAAATAACAATTACTTTAAAATACTTCAAGGGCAATTATGACAAAGGCAGGTGATTTATTTTCATAAACAACCATTATATATTTGTATTATAAACATATAAAAAGCAATTTTACTTGCATTTGAAAGAAATTCGGCGCAGAAATAATTCAACAGTTGAAAAACATGCGCTGCATATAGTCTTTCCAGGTAGCTAACAACATTATTATACAATTAACATGAGATCATCGAACGTCAAAGCAATTAAAGAATAATCATTGAAATAGCTCACTCGCTGCTATTTGTGTGTATAATGCAATCAAGATCGCTTCAAGATCAAATATTGTTCGATTTTTTATGTGTAATTGTTGTTATTTACTTTTCCAGTGTAATGATTGCTTTGTAAACTCTTTCGAGTGCATGAGTTTTAATGAAAAGAATATTATTCATCATTATTATGAGCAGAAATAAATAAGTTATGAGTTAATTCTTTGGTAATAATCGTGTACAATAGCGCTGCTTTATTAACGATTAAAGTTGTTTTTCTATATATTTTCTATATTTTTTCTATATTAGGATAGCATCTAGTATGAATAATGCATCTAAAGGAGGCAGCGGTTGGGCTTTATGAAACAACCTGCAGATAACAAAAGTGGTGTATGGAGTGAGTTAATTTTAATTTTCAAAATGTACACAGCAAGCTGAAATTTCGTAGTACCAGGTTTTGAAAACACTTAAATCAGTGAGAGCACAAGTACTGTGAAAGCGAACAATGAAAAAATATTATTAAATCAACTACACCTTATAAAATGAATAGTCAAATAATAGGACTTACTGGTATTATAGCTTTTAATATCCAGTAATGATTTTCTTACTTCCGCAGTAGTAGTAGCACTTAAAATCAAAACGTTGAATTGTGTAAACCTTCAAAATTTACAAAATGTTCAAGCAACAAATATTTTTTTCTTCTATAGCTTTCAATAACAATTTGAAATTGTATTAGTGTTACAAACTAACGGTTTAAAACTCTGTTCACATTTGGCAGAGTCGTGGGAGCGGAGGCTAACAAGATTCGCACATTTTCTCAGTCAAATGAGACAACATTACTCCGCGATATTTTGGAACAAAAGAAATTGAAAAAAAAGTTTTTTGCATCTTTAATGTCTTCGAACGACAATGCAAAATATTTCTCAAAACACATGCGAAGCAGTCAGTAAGTATTCCGGTCTATGGTAGCTGTTGCAACTCCAATATAAACAGGACGCAAATATGTACTCTTAATTAAAAATTACAAAACATATATGTCGTTGCACCCTGTATTATTTTTACTTACACAAGTATCTGTAATAACAATGTATGTATATGTAAGTGAGACAGCTCTAAAACAGCAATAGCGTACTTAATTATTCTTACGAATACATTTCACTCACCATTTTCTTCGCCAAAGAGACGCGGTGCATTGCGCATCACCACCGACCTGCAACGAGCAAAATTTACAAAAATCCAATTAATAAAATACACAACTTACAGAAAATATAAAAAGTTTATATTACAATTAAAATTTGCTTGTAACAAGAAGAACTATATTATCCAGAAAAATGCGACTAAACCACTTGGAATTGGCGCGCAACATTTCACGCATCATTCAACGGCAGCAACATGCATCATCAGCAGATGCAACAGATTTTCATAATTAATTGCATTGGATGTGGCAAAGAAATGTGTAATGCCAACGACGCCAAACAAATAAGCACATACACACACACACACATACAACAGAAGCTGTTATTGTGGCCGCCATGGAGCGGACTTTCTTCGGCGCTCTATAAGGTTGTGTGTGTGCAGCCAACCGAGCCACACAGTGCGCAGTGCCACATTATGTTGAATGTTCACTGTCATTAAATTAAGCATAACAGGCGCCCAGAATGCTGCCACGCTGCTGCACGCTCGTTGGCAGTGGCTTATGGCTTCTGTCTTTGGACTTTAAGCAGCCACTTGGTTAGGAAAATATTATGAAAATAACAAAATTTATAGACGTGCTGATTTATGGCTGTCGAAGTTGGCGTCAAAAGTGAAAATATTTATTAAAAAATGTATATGCTGTCACAGTCTACTTGGAAGCTGCATTACAGTGCAGATAAATTAGTGTGAGACTTACATGCAAACATAGCTATACACCAATAGGATTACAAATTTGAGGGAAAGAACAACAAGTGAAGCCGCTGAGGGACACATAAAACTCCGATATAAGAATTTATTTATTTTTGTAATAAAGAACACAGTTTTTGCTTTAGTACCTGTACGGAAAAATAATAATAATTAATATTTAAGTATATAAAGTTCTTTGAAAGCCACAGTACGCTCTTTCAATAGAACCATTTATAGGTATTTTAGTGCGTTTCTTCGCTTTTCGCTTTAAAAAAGTCAAGCAATGCTTCTCTACTATTGTGTCTCATCAATTCGCTGTAACTTTCGTTTATTTTCTATTATTTTTTATTTTGGTTTATTTTTAAATTTGAGTGTCTGACACTTCATTGCACTTACCATTTTTCATTTCGTTCTAAAAGACATTTCAAGCATTTCACGCTTTCAAGTTTAAGACTTCTTCTTTTGGGTAGTACTTCATAATTAATTTCGATTGTCTGGAAAAGAGTTTTCTAAGCAAGCGTAATGCCTTGGTATGCAAATAGCTTTTGTTTTGACTCGAGGTGTGTGCGTCATAATTATTTTTTAATGCTTTATACATTTTGTTTTTTTTTTGTTTTTTTGTACAAAATTGAAAATAAACAGAAGTAGCTTTTGATATAGAAATAATTTGCTTGAAAAAAAATAAAAAAATAAAAAAAAATACTGCAAATAATTTATTTCTATAATTGGAAAATAATAAGTTTGCGGTTTTTAGAAGAACAAATTATTTATACTCAACAGCTGGCTCAGCATAAATGCTTGCTTCTAATGGAAAAGAAACAAAACAGAATTAGAAAATACGAAACAAACAAAGCCATACAATTTTAAAAACGGAATTAAATTGTATATATATTTGATGTTAGTTGCTTTCATAAATACAAATTTTAAATATTATAAATTCGGAGTATTAAATAATATATCTTTATTTTCATTATTAAAAAAAAAAAAAAATTAAAGAATTCTCAAGCCCTCAATTGAGGCGTATAACATGTTTTCAAATATATTCGCAATCTTAAAGCTAACTCGGCTTAAGGAAATAAGGTTAATTGAATTGATTGTTTTGACAGCGTGGCATGTTTTGCAAATTAGATACGCTTACGGATATGCTACTACAACAACTTAATACCATTGAAATAAGATGAAGTCTAGCTGAACTTGTACTCTTTGTCGAAAAAAAATCGTAAATAATAATTTTGTGATTGTCGACACTGCAAGCACAAAACCGCTTACAACAAAAACTGATTAGCAGATTACATTAGCACCACTACTTATTTACTTTTGCATTGTTATATTATTGCTTATGTGTATAAAATTATTGACATAATATCAATTTTCTTTAGTAACTGTCTCACACTTGTCACCCACGCAATACGTTAAATTTATTAAAATTTTTAGTTGAAATTTATTTTTGCCTACCTCCAGAAACGGCGTACAGCCTCCTGTTCGCTGGGCGATAAATCTTTTATTTTTGCCTCGAAATTCTCTTCCCACTGCGCTGTGTTGTGCGCTGCCGGCGCCAACGCTGCGTTCATGTCACACGACGAGCCCGATAAAATCACCGGTGACACACGACTGGCAGCAACGCTGACATTACATAATTGATTCGCGCCGGTAACGCTCATTGTTGCAGCCAATTGATAAATTTAACAAACGTAATATTGCAGAACTTCGCTACAGTTTGTTAGATTGTAAGACGTGTTTTCTTGGTGCTTTTGTTTTTAATTATTTCATTTATATTTAATTTTCTGTTTTGTTGCACAACTTTAATTAAGCGCGAACACTTGACGACTTCAAATCTTAAAATTACTAATTTTGTTTAAAATTTGTTGTGATTTTTCGTCGCTTTGTTGTACGTTTGTTCTACTTTAGTCATACATTTTATTTACAACACTTGAATTTTAAAGGAAATGAATTTGCTGATAACAAACTGATAAGTATGTGTGAAAAGTTTGTGTTTTTTTATTAACAAATAAGAAATTATTGGTTTTGTTGTTAGTTGTGCTCACAAAGCAGACTTAAATTTAAAAGAAACGTTTTAGTACATTTTTTTTGACATTTCTACACTGCTACAAGTCATTCTAATTGCTGTACTACTTGCCATCAAATTTCAAATCAGGTCTTCGCGCTTTTGAACACTGTATTTAATTTGTAAAAATTTAATTTTATTTCAATTACACTCGCACTTTATACTCACTAAGCGTAACTTAAACACTTTCGTAATCGAATAGTCTCCATACGAAAAAAAATTATTAGCATGCTTTGGTAGCTTTTAGCCAGCTTTGCATTAGCTTCAGTTGCTAAGACGCTTCCACCACACTTAATTTGCACTTAATTCACTTAAAATGTAATTTCATTTATCTATTTATTTATTTACTTTTTCCACAACCCCTTCCACTTCAAGCAACATTTTAACGGTGTTCACTTATTCCATAAGTATGCGAGTTGCGCCGCTTTCACGTACACGCGCCTTCGCCATGCGAGCGCACGATCGATCGATCACCTCTTCCAATACAACAACCGCACACCAAATGCGTTCAAATCAGACTGAATTGAACGCGCTGGCGATATATACCGCATACTTCACCGCAAGCGAAGCACAAGAAAGCGTCAAAAGATCAACTTATGCGGCTAACTAACGCACTGCTCGCATGCCGCAGTGACGCATCTTGACTGACGAAGCGTTCGTCTACCTAGAAGATCGCCGTGGCCAACGGCGCCACAGCTGTTGATGAAGCTGTCGACTGCTGACTGTGGCACTAGACGTTCATCATTTCACGGTGCATTTCTCAGCTTTCATGCGGGCCATTTGTCTTTCTTCTAATTTTTCTTTCCTGCTTTTGTTTTCTGTTTTTCTAAGCACTTTGATGTTTGAAAATGAGTTTGCGTTGAACCGCAAGAAGCCACTGCTGCCACCAAACTGATTGGCGCGCGTACGGCTTGAGACTTTGCAAGCCCACCAGCAGCCAGCAGACAGTCGAGTCAGCAGAAAAAAGTCTGCGAAGTCTGAAAACAAAAGCGTTCAACACTGAGCGCCAAGCAACAAAGCCAAGCGGTAAACAAATATGCCCAAGCAGCTATGTTGGTAAGGATGTACTTGCATATATGTGTGCTTGGAGAGGTGTGTTGAGAAATGTAAATATGATACGTTAATTAATAATGCTTTCTGATTTATGTATAAGCAGGCAAAACAAGTAGGAAGCAAAAACTTAGTCCAAACAGCTGAGCTGAGAATTATTGGCTCAGCCAAGGCAATAGTGGCACTGTCAACGCTCTCGACAGCGATTTCAAACAAACCAAAACCAGTTTCACAGCGGCGACAATCGCTCGCGCAAAGCTCAGTTAACGCGATGCTGTCGACAGAAATTATAAACACTACACTTAATGCCTATTAGAGTACCTCAGCTAAAGCTTTGCGCAAAAAACAAAACAAAACAGTCGCAAAAGTCAACCACAGCGCCAACCTCAACTCCCAAGCGCATACTAAAATGAGTATTTCTTCATACACACACATACATGCGTGTGTGTATACTTGTAGACATTTATGTGTTTATAAAACGTTCAAAGTGCTCAGCAGTTATTGCTGGTGCTCGTATTTGTTGTTAGTTTTGTTCTGATATTGTTATACTTTTCAACCCGACAGTTAACCGATAAGCTTGCGCCTAATGTCAACAATAACACACATATATACACACATACATATGTGGTCTTGTAAGCGCATATGTACCTATGTAACTACAAGCATTTTTGTAATTGGCGTTTATACTATTTACACTTTGTTCTTTGGTTTTGTTGTTACTGTAGCAGTTGCATTTACTTTGGCAAGTTCGCGTTTTATTGCTATTTTTCAATTTGTTTCCTTAGTTTGGTGTCGTTGCTCTCCTAGGTGTATACTTCAAAAATTATATATATTTTTCTAAAATGTCAAATGTGTCAAAATTAAAAGATTATTCGCAAAAAAAGTATGTACACTATAATGCATACCTGCAGCTGGTTCAAAGGTATGACGGTTACGAGTAAACCCAGCAGTCAAATTCAACTGAATATTGAATAAAAACAATTTAAGTTAGTCTAAGGGGTTTATATCTTTTTCCGAAAATATTCAAAACCTAACATCTTGACTTCTTACTTAATACCTAAATAGTTAAATATATACAAACACACATACATAGGTCCATGTAAATCCATGTCGAAGCATTAAAGCACCCCAAACACCTCTCTTGAATGGGATAATTTTAATTTTTGGAAACGCGCAACTCATTGTGAAGCAACCATTTCAAAACTCTTCAACTC